GCCTTTAAAATGGTGTACAATAATCTATTGTCGGACTTGGCTTGTTGGGATTTTTTATCGGGTAAAATGAAAACAAACCATATTTCTCTTAATTTTTTAAATTTTGACCATCAATAATTCCCACAATTTCAAAATATGTAGTACAAGCGTACAAAAAAACGATTTTCGATGGGCATCCTAATATACATACATCTCAATGTATTCTACAAATCCGTATGTAATATTTCAATTTAAAGAAATAAAAATATTTTAAAAAGTTAAGTTATTGGGATAATTTATGTCGTATCCTAAAATTTTTGCAATAAGCTTGTCAACCGTTATGTTAAATTACGGAGTTCTTACGATTTTTTTGCGCGTTATATATTGAAAACAAGGTTGGTCTACTTTTCTCCAAAAGTTCAACACATCAACTCCCACCAGAACGGGCCTTTTTGGCCTACTGTTTGAAAAATGGCTTATAAATGGTTAAAATTTCCACTAAAATATTAAGCGCCAAATTTTTCTAAGCAGAACAGAATGTAATGCAAAATAATAGCAATTTTTACCATAAAGGGGGACTTAAACCCTGTGTAGAAAACGTTGCGATGCGCGGGAGCAAAACCTTCCTGGGGTTTGACCACCACTTGGGAATACTAATGTAATTTTCACACAGCCACCTAGTTCTTGTATACGTCAGTCGGACCCCAGAATAAAGTAACTTACGCATGTAAAAATTAGCAACAAAAGTGTTTTCTTTTTGTTAAAATTCTGTTTAAAATATTAAAAAAAAAAACAGGAAAATCAACTAGTCTTGGTTTTATCTCCAATAATTAAGGAGTTAGATGCAAAAAGGGCGCTTCTGCTAAAACTGCTTTGTGAGATATTGGCGATAAATTTTTGATGTGTTATGTGTTTATGTGTTGTTGTGGTATATAAAAAAGTGGTATTGTTGTAGTATTGACAAAAAAATTGCCTACTCCGGAAAAAATCGTCAGATTACCAGTATTCGACCCTAATTTAACTGTAATAAACGCTTTCAATCGAAAAATGTGTTACCTATGTCTTTTCTGAGTTACGCTTTTTTTGGAAATGTTCAGCGGCCCAAATTATGCAAAAAACCCTCTTTTAAAAATGTAATTTTCATTTCGCAAAATAGTGTTTTTATACGAGTAGTATTTAGTTCCTTCAAACGATGTATTTCAATGTGTATACAGCATTAAAATTTTATACAAAATTCCGTATACCTCTAATACCTAGTGCCTTTTCCTGTCTTTTTCGCTATTTTATTTTGCCTTTTCCAGCCTATTCGTTATTTTATTTTGCCTTTTTTATAGGTTTTTAGGTCCTAAAAATCCGTTCCGTGGTTATACCCATAAAATGTCAACACTATCGATAGTACTATTGATAGTTTTGATTAAAAAGTCCAAAAACCAAACATAACAACTTTTATTGAAAATGATATCAGAATTGCTAAAATAAGTATGTCGATATTTTTGTTAAGGAACAAAAGTTTATCAGCATGTGCGCCCAAATATGCAAGGAAAGCTTAACGTCGAAAAGCTGCATCACAACAGACAGCCAATGCTTTCGCTACTCTACTCTCACACCTGCTCTCAGAGAGCACTCTTCAACAAACCGACATATGCTAGCAGTGAAACCACATTTCCCGCTCATTAAGTACCGCCGCCGAAGAAGTAGTCGGATTTCAGCGAGCCCGAAAGAACAACTGGTACGATGAGGAGTGTCAGGAAGCTGCAGAGAAAAAAGATGCC